AAAGAAAGAAAGAAAAAAAGAAAGAAAGAGAAAAGGACAGCTCCCCAAAGTGCAGATAGACAGAAAGAGATTTCTCAAGATCTCAAGATACTGCGTGATTTTTGTCTTGAATAATAAACTAGTCCATTTAAATTGAGACAGTATTTTGTGGGACCATTTGTGCATATCTGTAGACAGGGCAGTGACTTTGTAGCTTGTACATTGACAGCAGTGCTAACGTATTTTCTTGGACCCTTCATAACATCTCGCGAGCACAGAGTGCTCCCCACTTGCCGGTTCTCCTTGCTGCATTTTGTGTATGTTGGCTCCTCTCCTCTTCCCGTTTGTGAGAACTGGAATCTGAGACACAGAGAGGCAGCGTGAGTTGCTGCAGGCTGCTCAGCAGCTAAGTTTCAGAACTTGGTTTAAACTAGATGAGTTTGTCACAGTGTGAGCCACTAAAACTCTTCTTTACGTGCTGTGGGGGACACGCCTGTGGCCAGGCTGGCAGGCAAGGGCCAGGCACACCGTGGCTGCTTCCTCACCTTAATACAGGGGACAGCTGGCAGGGATGGACACCAGATGCTGACTTGGAGAGGCAAGATGAAAAAGCAGGCAAGGCTGTGTATTTGGGGGCTGCCTGAGCTGAATTGCCAGTGCTTCCTTAATTTTATTTTGGGGGGCTGATTTCAAGCTAGTTTAGGCTAATTTAAAAAATTATCTGCACCTTAACATAACTGACATTCCTCTGCTGATTTTGTAAAATCTGTTCCGAGCCCTGAGGAATGTCTTCAGGGCACTTACCACCAATGACAGTGCGGAAGGCAGGACTGAGCACCAGCTGTGCAATTTGAAGTACTGTTAACGTATCTCAAAGGTGTTTACACAAATGTCCATAAATAACTTAGAAACGAAAGGAGTTTGAAATCACAGAGATGATGTCACTCTGGGTCTGGGTCTGCAGCTGCAGATGTATTAATGGGGTGATGAGGAAGTTTGTTGAGGCGAAATTCCCTAATTTTCATAAAGAAATGTTTCCCTGCTCTCACTGCTGACTGGTAATTTGGTGTCGCAAAATATTTATAAAAGGCTACTCAATCTGTTACTTATTTATATTTATTAATACTTAGAATTTCATTAAAAAGTCTTCTTAAATATTTATTGATCATCTGTCATTCTCACATTTACTTCTAATTACTCTGCCAGATTTCTTGGGCACCTTTTTAAAGAATAATGAACTTGACTTTAAAGATATTTCTCATTACTAATAGCTTAGTGTTATATATGATAGCCGTTCATTGGGAGTTTAACTTTTGAAATTTAAATCTGTTTGAAGCAAATTTTTCAGAGTCATTAAAAACTACGTGTTAGTGTATAAGTGTATAACCTGTTTCCATATTAACCTGAGAAAAATTTAAAAGGCCAACTCAAGAAGCCCAACATAATATAAATGAACCACTTTTATACACAAAGCAGAATCTTATTCATTATTTTATTAACAAAGTATGTTCATTGTGTTCTAGAAAAAGTTATAGTTGATGGCTAAATCTGGAAGAGTTGAAATAGCCAATCATTTAGTGTTAAAATTTTAAATGAAATCTATAGTTGTTCATACTCACTTATTTTTTGGAGTTAATGTGACTATAGCCTTGGTCAAAATATTAGGTCATTTTTGCTCTCTATGATAATGACAAATCTATTCAACAAAGAAATACAATTTTTTTTTTTTTTTGAGACGGAGCCTCAGTTTGTTGTCCCAGGCTAGAGTGTGGTGATGTCATAGCTCATGGCAACCTCAATCCAACTCTTGGGCTCAAGCAAACCCTCTTGCCTCAGCCTCCTGAGTAGCTGGGGCTATAGGTGCCTGACACCTCATTCAGCTAATATACCAAATCTCCCTTTTTGTTTTTTAATTGCTCAAGGTGGTCCTCAAATGCTTTGCCAATTCTAGGGAGTGCACACATGAGCCTTAACAGATGTCTCTTTTGTTTGTGGTCTGTCTTGGCCCATTCCAACAGAACACCCCCACTGGGCACAGGAGCTCTCATCATCCGTGATCAAGGCTCTGTGATGGTCTAGAAGGGTGTCTGGGACACAGTAGGTGTTCAGCACGTAAACTCTGGCTGCTGCTTGAGTACAGCTGGGTACTGTGGACTTCAGGACAGAACAGACATTAACACAGACGTGTCTATGTGAGGACATCTTCCCTGTATGATGTTGAACAATGCAACTACTTTTAAAATTGACTAAGCATTGACAGTTCAGACAGGGCTGTTTTGTTCATTAGTTTCTTTGTTTCTTCTCCTTCCCTTTCTCTCCCCTCTATTCTTTTTCATAGTTTTCTTTGAAGGAGGGTCAAGAATGACCTGGCACGACAGGTGTAGGCCTGAACTGTAGTTTGTAATCCTGATTCACAGATGTATTCATCATTGTAAATCAAGCACACACAGATTTACTGGTCAGTTTTAAAGTTATAATTACATTGCTGCTTTTGATTATAAAGACACATATGACCATCCAGACACAAAATATAGATGGTAATGTAAAAAGTAAAGTAAATGATGAATCAAACTGTAGTCTGGACTCCAGAGAAAAACAAAGCAATGGTAATGAATGTACTATGTTATTAAACGGTGTCTTGCTTTTTATATTTTTTTTCCTTAGATCATAACTGTGTACAATGTGCTGATTTTATATTCAATTTGGAATGCTTATATCAAAATGGTTAACATAACCTTCACCTCACTTATTTAATTGATGTGTTAAGACATTTATACGCTACTCTTAATATATTTGACATGTACCCTTGCAATATGCACAATAGGTGAGGTACTTTTTAATATTTAAACATTTTTATATGCAAATTTATAAATATAAGTAGAATTATTTAGTATATATGTGTGTGGGTAATTTTTTACATTTTTATTTAACATTACAAAAACTTTCCCTTGTCAAAATTTAGGAGATACATACCTTTAACTATATAATATTTCATCAAGGGGATATGCTGTGATTTACCTAACTTTTTCTTTTTTAATTGTTTGGGATTCATTGAGGGTGTAAAGAATTAGGTTACATTGATTGCATTTTACCTTTTTTTTCAAGTTAGATATTTGAAGGGTTTTTTGAAGCTCCATTTTATAAGTAGTAGGCAATAAATATCTTTATGTCTTCTATTTTTTTTTTTAGGCTAACAGAATTGTTACTGGTTTAGAAGTCCATTGGTGTATTCTGAAGTGTGAATACTTATGTCAACATTTTTTTTTCTGAAACAAAATAGCTTTATTATTTAAGGTTCTTTTTTTTTGCTTTTTCCATAGTACCACCACTTAAAATTCCTATAAATTGTTTTTTCCCAGGCATTGCGAAGCTGGAAGAAGGAGATGAACTTCAACTTGCAATACCACGGGAGAACGCACAGATATCCCGGGATGGAGACGGCACATTTTTTGGTGCATTGAAACTGCTGTGACCTACTTAACACCGTGTCTGTAGTTAATTTCCTCCCTCTCTCTGTACCTCTAAGCAGAAAGCACTTAAGTGGAAATACCAAAACACAAGACAAAAAAAGTAGTTACCATAGCCTTTTCTGTGAGCTGTTTGTTTTGGTTTGCTGAAAGTAGTCCAAAACAGGAAATTTAACAGACAGCCACAGCCAAAGAGTGTCATGTGAATTACAAGAAATAGAGCCCATTTAAGGAAAGATAGAATTAGGAAGACTTTTCACTATAATTCCATTTGAACTGGTTAGTCACAACTTCTCGTCTTGGAGGAAGCGGTATGGACTTCTTCAAAAGTGGTATTCCAAAAATAAAACAAAATAAAAAACAACAAAAGTGGTATTCCATTATTTACTATGAAACAAGTGCCCACCTCTGTAAGGATATTAAGATAATTATTGGAAATCGCCACATCTATCTTCTGTTTTTATGTTAACAACAACCCCCCCCCTTTCCAGTTGATGTTACCAAAAGCAAAAAATAAAAATTTGAGAAATCTTGAATTAGATACATAAAAAAATCAAGCATTTAAATATTAAACAATTAGACTGAAAATAGCAGACATGTAACTACATAAGTCTTTTTTTGGTTATTTCAAGTTTGCAATTTTTATATGTGCTATAATGCATTACCCAGATAGTTTTCATAGGAGGGAAGAATTGCCTCATTGGTCTATGCTTACGTGTATTTTTTATAGTTAACTTCAATTCAGAAAGTTTTAATGTAATGTAGGGTAATTCCAATTTATGCATTTAAAGCATCAATCAAAAAATAACTATAATTGTTCTTATATACAAACAAAATCTCCAGAAGAAGTTAATGAGTTAGTGAATACATTTATGATAATTTAATGTAATTTCCCTTTATTTCTTGTTCTTCTATTTCAAACTGCTGGTATTATAGTTCATATATCCAGGCCTTTAAAAAATATTCCTGTTATCAGCTTTGTAGAAGTTAAGGATTTATTAACATCCTTGGCGAGCTAAAGCATGTCACTTGCCACATGGTCCTGATAAAGATTCTGATATCCCAGAAGACACCATCCTAGTTTTCCTGTGCAGTGACTCCTACCTGAGATGCTATAACAGGTTCCTTTTGTGACACCTGTGTCCTCGGTTTTGCCTGTCTTCTTACGTCACTTGTTTAAACAGTTTACTTCATTAAACAGTTTACATCTTTTGTTTACTTCATTAAATAGCAGATGGAAAAATGTAGACAATAGCCTATATTGGTTTTCCCATCTACATTAAAATGTTCTTAAGATACATTTTTTCAAGAAAGAAATCATTTAAAACTGTATGTGTAAAACAAAACTTTGTTCAAATATCTGGCGTCTATAATTTTATAAAAAAAAAAAAAGATGTGGTGGGGGGTGTAAGTTTTGATACTAGGATGGGCGGGGAGTAATTTTTCTAGTGTTGCTGCTAACTTGGATTGCCAAATAAACGATTCAGTGCCTTTTGCCTCATTGTCTGAGTTTCTCTGAGAACTCCCACCCACGTTTTGATTTCTCCATGATTAAATGTCACTTTAAAAATCAAATGAAACATTATATGTTAATATGTGTTAGGTTATTACAATAGAGTATTTGGGAATGTATTTTCCATGTTTGAAGAAGGATCTGTTCACATCCTTATCTATCTAATTTTAAATGATTTAGAAGACATAGGTTATATTATTAACTTTAAAGTTGTATTTGCAGTAATAGAGTATAATTAGTGAAGTTTGGGGTATAATATTGTGTGTGTGTATACACCAATCATCGAGAAAGCTAATAGCAGACCAAATATTCTCCTTAAAAGCTGATTCTGAGGTGGTAAAATGCCATTAGGACAAGCGTGTGGGCCATGAATGCATCACTGAGCAGGATCTCATTGTCAGCAATTTCTTATCATATCTAGCACCTGGCCTCCCACTCTTATGTGACTGGAAGGTACAAAGGAGAATTTTGGCTGTTATTAACCCCATCATCTGAGATTACGTGATAGTGAAGAAAGGAAAAACAACAGGGTTACAGATCTGGGAGAAGGGAGGAAATTCTTCACCTTTGAGTTAATTGCATTACCTGTTTTTAAAACTTTTTGATTTTCCATTTTGAAATAACTTCAGACTTTTAAAAAATACAGGAAAATAAATGTGCAAAGAAATTCCTTGTATTCTCTAAATGTTAGCATCATACAGTACAAGGGTCAAAATCAGGATAGTAACATCAATAAAAGGACTAGTGTACAAATTTTATGAACATTGGCCACATGTTAAATGTTAAGATTCACACAATTTTAAGTAGTTGGGTTCCTATCAATCATAGTGACTCTATAACATTCTTTAGTAATTGGAATCAGTATTTTAAAAGTAAGAAAATACATACTTGGAAATTAAAGTGGAAAAATAATTTCTAAATAATTTATGGTTTAATACCCACAGAAATTAGAAAATATTAAAAACTAGATAATAGTGCATAAGAAATCTTGGGGTGCAGGAAAATCAGCACTTACATGGAATTTATGAACTTAATGCTTATATTTGTTTATTTATTTATTTTACTTAATTTCTATTACATCATAACTGTATACATTTATGGGATACCATGTGATGATTTGATATACAATGTGGAATGTTTAAATCAAACTGATTAACATACCATCACCTCACTTACTTATATTTTTTGTGGTAAGACATTTATAATATATTCTTAGTTGTTTTGAAATGTACCTGTGCATCGTGCATATTAGGGGAGATCCCACCAAATACCCTTCCTCCATTTGCCTTCCCCCCTCACGTCCCCTCTTTCTTTTCTTTGTGTTTTATCATGCATATGAATGTGTGTTTGTATATTGGTTTCATAATAGTATTGAGTACATTGGATAATTTTTTCCCCATTCTTGAGATACTTTACTAAGAAGAATATGTTCCAGCTCCATCCAGGTAAACATAAGAGATGTAAAGTCTCCTTTTTTATGGCTGCATAGTATTCCACAGTATACATACATCACAATTTGTTTATCCATTCCTAAATTTCTTATATTTGAAAAGAAGAATTACTGAAAATTATGAGCTAAGCACCAATAGCAAGAAAAAAACAAAAACAAAATCAAGATAAAAACAAAGCAAACAAACAAAACAACCTAAGCCAAAGGTTTAAGAAAACAATTAAGGTTAAGAGCAGAGGGCGGCGCCTGTGGCTCAAAGGAGTAGGGCACCAGCCTTATATGCTGGAGGTGGTGGGTTCAAACCCAGCTCTGGCCAAAAACAGCCCAAAAAAAAAAAAAAGTTAAGAGCAGAAATTGAGAAACTAGAACAATAAAGACAAAAAACAAGAAGATCAACAAGACCCTAAAATCATTTCTCACAGACAAATAAATATGGTAAAGTTCTGGCAAAAGTTTCAAGCAATAACAAAGATCAATATACACAGTATTGGGGTTGAAAATGGGGACAAGTTGCAGATGCTGCAGAGATCAATGGCACAGGGTATAATGAACAGCATTTAAAGTCCCAGTGAACTTTCAAAAATTTAGTTAGAGACAAATTCCTAGAAAAATATACATCACTAACACTGATCAGTATGAAATAGATGAAAATAAATGTTTTTTAATATCCATTAGAGATGCTGAAATACTAGTAATTTGCTATCTACACAGAAAGAGTTGGGCCTAGATAGCCAAATTCAAAGGATAGACTATTTCCTTTTTTGGAGAACAAAAGAGAGAAACCACTCAAAATTCAACTTACATTTCCTTCTGTAATACTGAGACCAAAATATCCTGAAGCCATAACTAGAAATAAAAATTATAAGCCAGTCTCACAAGCTTACGTATATATAAACATTTTAAGTAGAATAATAGCAAATTGAATCCAGAGATATATAAAAGATAATGCATAATAACTGAGTAAATTTGATCAAATATACAAAATTGTACATACATTAATAAAAGGTGAAATTGACTGTAGTGAAATATTAAAGGGGAAAATCATATGCTCACCTTAGTAGATATGGAAAATATGTACTATTTAATATTTCTTTATGTTAAACACTTTCAGAGGATCAGGAATAAAAGAAAAAAAACTTCTTTAATCCAAAAAACTATAGCAACCAAGGCAATTATCTGTGGACAATCATTACCATTTCTACATTTTACTGAAGGGTTTAAATATTTTGGTATTTATCCAAATAATATTTACTGAATATCTGCTATATACTAGGCCATTTTTCTGATAATTGCTTTAGGGGGAGATAAACAAGTACAACATAGGGTCTGTGATGAGGTGACAGACGACACCGTACAGTGCTGCAGCCCAGGTAGCAAAGGCCCAGGAGGCCTTCCTGGACGGAGCTGCCCAGCCTTTTGCAGTAGTGGGCAAGCCAAGGTTGGAACCCAACTCTTGTAACATAAAGTCTGTCAGCCTCAGGGCTACAGGTGCCTGCAGGCTTCATTTGGAGACACCCGGAGCCCTCCGATGGCTGTGTGGGTGAGCAGAGATCTGGCGGGGGATGCTTGGACTGTTTGGTCTGGTCATCTTCTTTCTTTCTCCTTTGTCAGGGCGAAAATGTGATTATTATTATTCCCAGTTCTCCTCCCTTCCAGAAACACTGTCTTAGGTCTGATGCTGCCTTAACTCCACTGGAGCCGGGCGCTCGCACACACTCGCACACGTACACACGATGTACAATTAGGAAGGAATGTGGAAGGTCGACTGTCCTCTGGCATGCCACCTGCACCCGGTCCCCACTCAGAAAGGCTCTGTGCTCAGTTTAATGCACGCCTATTGCCCCCTTGAAATTCTTGACCATTTTGAACAAAGGTCCCTGCACCTTCACTTTGTGCTGAGACCTGCAAATTTGAAAGTGGTTCTTTCTGAAATCACTGGAAAGAAGACGATAGTTAAGAAAGTGAGGACTTGAGCTGAAGCCCTCGCATTCGAATCCTTGTTCATTTACTAGTTTGATAACTGGAGCTATGGGGACAATGACAACACTAAATTTGTGGAGTTGTGAAAAATTATTGCACATGTAAAAACACTTAGAATCGTGCTGTGCATATTACAGTGACAAAT